TTTATACTAGTGATTAAAAAAAATTATTCCTATATGTCTTCAATTCAACTATATATGGTAAAAAAATCATATTACTTTTGACATATTTTAAAAATAGAAGGACATTAATATCAGTGTACCTATTATAGAAATAAAATGAATTCCACTTGCCAATAATTACATGGATTGTACTAATGTAGAGATCTCAAATTTTGAGTCAAATTTGTAAAGATTTTGCCATTTTGAGATAATTATTATTTTTATTACCTAAATTGAATAATAATGGGCAAAATGATATTTAGATCTCTTATTTTATCACTAATATCATATAAGCAAAAACAAAGTAAATATAAGTACATAATATTTTCACCTGTTTTAATCCTTTTTTGAGATTTCAAGTTGTAAGTTGCCAATTAAGGAATGTTTTTAATAAATATCATTACTTCTGATATATTTCAAGAATAAAAGATTTATTAACTATACTTTCTTGATCCATATTATGTGGTGTTTTTTGCCTTTTATTTTATGTTTAATAGAAAATAAACTAGTTTTTACATAATCAAAAAGGTATTTTCTTTTTTCAACTATACCTTTAATTAGATAAGTAAATTTTTGCAAAACCAAGAAATCATATTAAATTAATATTATTTAATTAATGATAATTTCGTGAAAACACTTCCAATTTCTTGAAATGAAGAATTTTTTAAAAAGATGTGTCCAAACTAAAAACAACAAATAGTATAAATCGAAGAAAGTATAACAAATAATTTAGAAAGTAATTAATTATTCTTCTATTAAGGGATCAATTTTGATCCTTATCAATTTAATCCTCCCTCTCTCTCATGGATATAATATCATTATATTTCTAAATTAGCAATCAAAAGGAACTATTTTGGTGGAATTGGAAAGAGAGGATTTTAATATATCATCATACTTAAAGTATTCAGATTTATTAATATAAAATTTTTGAAAAATTATATTCTTAGATACAAACATTTATCATACAAATTATACGTTTAATATTATATACCAGCAATACTTTCAAAATAAAATGTATATATAAACACACACGATATACATTATACCAGTACTAATATCGTGTATATAATAAAAATTTATTAATACTTTCTATATTTATACCGTGTATATTACTACAACCTTACAATTATGAGGTTATATTCCAGGCTTCCATCTGTGTATATACTAAAGGGCTTCTTAATTAACTATATAGACAACAACGAAAAATTCAATAGAAACGTTTATACGTACATATAATGTAACAACATTGTATAAAGAAATGGTATTGGTGTATAATCTGCATAGAATGTATAATTATGTATCAAAGATGTATATATATTCCTATACATTTTTATACAATATCATGTAAAGAGTCCTTGTGTAGTTTCCCCTTGAGATTGGTAGGAGAGTAATCCTACCTATAAAAGTAAGAGATGATGGTGTGATTATTGTTGGGAAACGGACTAATACAAATAATATATGGTCAAAATAAAGAAAATAAAATTGAAAAATAATGACACTAAGAATTCTACGTGGAAATCTTTCTGAATAAGGGGAAAAATCACGGGCCAAGAGGAGCAGCGCACTTTTCTTCTTTCTCATTTGGAAGGCTCAGTCGCACACCCACTGATATCACAATAGCAAGAAATTTAAGTTATTAACAATTTAAGTTTAAGGCCTCCATTTGATTTTGACTTTAGATCAATATCTCAATAAATTGTTTTGGAACGGACATCAGAGTCATGTCTTAGTTCGGATGTCGGGGTCAGATCCTAGATCGATTATTGAAGTTGATTTTCGGGTCAAAAAATATTTTTTCTTAAAGAGTATTTTCTAGTGTCAAACTAAAAAGGGAAAATGCATAAGTACCCCCCCAGCCTATGCCCAAAATCCTTGAGACACACCTAACCTTTACTAAGGTCCTATTACCCCCCCGAACTTAATTTAACTATAATATTCTACCCCTTTTCGGCCTACGTGGCACTATTCTTGAAAAAATTGTCAACGTGCACTGGGCCCACAAGATAGTGCCACGTAGGCCAAAAAGGGGTAGAATATTACATATAAAATAAGTTCGGGGGATAGTTAAATTAAGTTCGGGGGGGTAATAGGACCTTAGTAAAGGTTAGGTGTGTCTCTGGGATTTCGGGCATAGGCTAGGGGGGTACTTATGCATTTTCCCAAATAAAAATAATTACTCCCTTTGGTGTAACATTTTTTGAATTTCGAGATTCAAACAATTTTATCTTTGACCAAAAATTTATTATACATCTTTTAATTATTTTGAATTTCTAATTATTGTGACTTATAGTACTTTTTACATAGTTTACAAATATATAAATTTATTTCAAAAAGGTTGAAGATTCCACGCGCAAATTTTCGGTCAAACTTACAATGTTTGACTCTCAAAAAACGATAGTGACACATAAATTGGGACAGAGGGGGTCTATCACATATACTTAAAAGGGGTGGAAAAAAAAACCAAAAAATTACATCTATGGAAACCTCACAGCTCTCTATCAATATAGCTTTTAGATTTTTGGTTAACGCCACATCATTCCTAATCGAACATGATGCTTGCTTGGTGAACTTAATTAAAAAATAACGTTGCGCTAGCTCTGCTGTCAACTATAACTTTTGTCATGATGGTAAATGCTTGATCCCCAAAAGCAACATGTTGCATGAACTATACTTTTTGACATGATGGTAAGCGTTTGACGCTTGATCCTAACAGAGACCACATCAGTTAAACTGAGGTTGGTAAATACAATAGTTGTGTTCTTGCTTTTCATCACTTGAGATACAAAGAAAAAGCCTTTCATAAGCTGCAGCCATTTTGGTAGCAGTAAACAACTTCAAACCCCTCTTTCTAGCAAATCTTCCTTTCTTCTGTAAACTTTCCCTTCCATCCTCCCAAATCTTATACAAAGCTTTCTTCAATTCCCATACTGTAGGTGCATATGTATACCCCATTTCTTGGCTGACGATGATCGATCCAGTAATGCTGGCGAGTTTCGTTGCCATCAAAGGTTTACCTGTTAGGATGGCTTCTAATAGTGTGTGATCCAAACCTTGAGCTCTTAATGTTGGGTTTATGAATACATCTATTGCATTATAGAATCCTGCTAGTTGATCCTGTTCTAATGGTCCTAAAACCATCACATTACTCGATCCGAGCCCTTTGTATCGAGTACCCCATGGACCATTTCCAGCAACCAGTACAATGACATTGTCCCTGAATGTTGAGTTCTCATTGAAAATTTGTTGTAAGGCTTCAAACATTAAAGGGTGTCCTTTATCTTTAACTAACCTCCCGGCTAACCCCACGATTAGGGACTTTGATTCAGGGATTCCAAGGTTGGACTTAAAAGCATTGCCCTTTGAAACATCAGGCTTGAATATCTCCTCATTGACACCGTTTAGTATGACATGAACGCGTTCTTCAGGGATCATATAGATCCTTTTAAGTACATCTCCAGCATGATCACTCGTGGCAACGTGGTGAGCGTAATTTGGGAAAAACTTTACCTCTTCAATAACCTTCTTCACTCTTTCAGACAAAGCAGGTGACTTTACAGGATCATCAGTAGTATTGCGGAGAAGCTCCTGTATGATATCAGAATGTAAAGTTTCATAGGCAATTCCATGCCAGCTAACTGCAAGATTTTTCAGGTTTTTTGATCTAGTATGCCTGAGGCCTACACTCTCTGTATGAATCACATCGAAGGGCCTTTTTGTCGCGTTCTCTGCTTGAAATTGCTTCCAAACAACAGCTTGGTCAAGATATCCGGCAGCAGTAGGCCTCGAGATGTGGAAATGTGGATATAAAGGAAATGATGAGTTGGAGGATGAAGCTGTGAAGATATGAAGCTCGTGGCCTCGTTTGGCTAAGGCGAGATGAAGTGTTAAGGCGTGTCGTTCAAGTCCTCCAGCTTGATTTTCATCTGGCCATTTCTTGACAAACAGAGCAATTTTAAGGAGTTTTTGAGGTGGTTGTGATGAAAAGTCAAGATGATTCCAAGCTTTCGGGAATCTTAGTAGATTAGTTGATCTGTTTTCGTTGCTCGTTGTCGTTTGGATATAGTAATATCCATAACCAAAGAAACAAGACCAGTAGAGGAGAGGAATGGATGACAAGGCAAAGAGAAAAACAAGAATACAGCAACAAAAGCGAAAACTGGAAAAACCAGTTTGATCTTTTGCCATGGCAGTTCAATACCAAGAACCTCAATTCCTTTTCTGAAGAAAGAAAAAAGTACCATGATTCATTTCTTTATTAAGTTGTACTCCCTCCGTTTCAATGTGTTCGTCTTACTTCCATTTTTAGTCCATTTCAAAAATAACGTCTTCTCCCTTTTATGACAATTCTCCACGTGACATGTTTAAGACCAGAAGCTATCTATGCATTTTTTTACTTTCTTAAACTCCGCGTCAAGTCAAAACCAGACAAATAAATTGAAACAGACGGAATTTCTCTTTTGAGATCTAACACAGAGCTGCACATGATTGTGAGCTTGTTTAAATTTTAAATAATACTCACACATATCTAGAAGTCCTCAATTTAAGTTGACTAAATTGGTTGCTTGTATAATCTGCACAGGTTTCAATCTATGTTAATAAATTATAAGGTCACAAATCTCGAACAAAACAGAAAAAAAATATAATAGTCTTCAGTATTAGGAATAAGCTAAAGCAACAGTCACAGCAACAGAATAAAGTATTGTCTAATTCTTCTTAGTTTACCACTCGGTTGCTGGTATCTGCATTGCGACCCCAACTAATCCAGATTCCAGCCGCGTAAGATGCCAAATATTTTTGTGGCACATAAAGTAAGAAATAGGATTGTATTGACTAATAACAAATTTGGTTATATCACACATTCATATGTACAAGGGACAACCATGACATATGAGAAGTTGTCTAAATATGATGATAATTCACAAGTGCCTACTACTGCTTGTTATAACAACAAAAGAGAAATCAAAACTTACACTAAACATGTCGAAGTTGTTCCACCTTGATCATGATTTTTCGACAGACATACAACTATATACTGATGAAGAATCCTAAAGGTTCTTTCTGCTGCCAAAGACAGAAAGTGATTTTTGGTAATAAACAGAACGACTTCGATGGTAATCAATCCAGATACATAATTGTCGAATAGCTTCCCTCTTTTCCTCCTTGAGAGCCAACGTACTATCATCTTTTTCCTTGATCATTTTCTCCAATTCTCTAACCTTATTGTCTGATTTCCAAACCTTCTCTCTATACACTAATATCTCGGCTTCCTTGACGTCCAACTGTTCAAGTAAGCAGTCTAGATCATCTTGTACATGTACTATTGCTTTGTTTTTCCTCATAACCCAATCTTTTACAAATTTCAGCTCACAAGAAACCTTCGACATTCGATTAAAGAAATGACCAGTACACTCCTCAAATTTTAGAGCTACTGTGTCTAGTGAAGCCAACGTATCGTTTGCTGTCAATGTTATATCCTTAATGCCTCGAACCCCAACTTGTAGCCTTGCATTTTTCTCTTTTAGATCATTATTTTCTTTCTCATACGAGTCTCTTGTTTTTTGATACCACTCCTTGTTCTCAAGGTGCATTTGTTCTGCCACACGGATCCTCCTGCTCAAGATTCTCAAACCATCTTCAAACTTCTTACGCAAATCTTCGGTCATTTCTTCTATTTTCCTTTCAGCACTTTGCAAATTTGATTTGGAATCTTCTAACCTGATCTTCATTTGTCTATGTTCCTCATTCAGCTTCTTTATAATATCTTCATTTTCTCTTATTGACTTCTCCTGATCTGTGATCTTCATGGTCAATTCGATGTTTTTCTTTTCCATATGAGTAAGGCTATTGTAAGAGTTCTGTTTCTCTTTCTCAAGCTGTGACTGCACTAGAACTTTTTCAGTTTCCTCGGTTCGTAGCTGCTGCTGAAGAGTGTTGATTCGTGTTTCCATAGATGAATTCTTATTGGACATATCATTCGCGTAGACCTCATGTTTCTTTTGAAGAGTTGACAGCTCTTGTTTCTTCTCTAATAGTATGGTTTCCAATTCTTTCATCTTATCAGTTAGCTCCTCTTTTTCTAACTGTGAACGATAAGCTTCTCGGTTTATATCCCTTATCTGCTTTTCCAAGTCACTCTTTTGGCTGCAGAGTGAGTCTACCTCCAATTTCAAGTCTTTTACATGTACTTGTAAGCCTTCATTCTCTTTTAATGTCTCCTTCTCAATCAAAGAGGCACTTGTTAGTTTCTCTTTTAGATTTTCAATCTGGAGATGACATTCGGATAGTTCTTCATTTTTATCTTTGAGTGACATTTCTACTTCTGATTTACAATGACTCGTGGCTTCCAGCTCTTGCTGCAGAAACTTAATCTTTTCGGTTAAATCCTTAACTTCGACAGTTGCCTCGTGGCACTTCTTTTCCAGTGACAACTCCAGCTCGCGTTTCTGATTTTTGAAGGACTTGAGCTGTTCATTCCTTTCAGTATGTAAAGAGTCCAACTCTTGCTGCAGAGACTTTGCCTGTGCCATTAGATCATCAATTTTCGACTTTGAGTTGGTCTGATTTTCCTCAAATCTTGTAAGAAGATTAGAAAATTGATCTGATTTATCTTGAAATGCTGCTTCCATTTGTTTAAATTCATTTGACTTGCACGTAATCTTCTCTCCAAGTTCTTTCTTTTGTACACATGAGGTTTCAAGCTCAATCTTCATCATAGCAATTTGATCCTCTAATGTCTTTATCTCAGCCAATCTCTCACTCTCGTGAACCTCGTATTTCTTGGTAAGAGACAAGATATCTTCTTCTTTTTCTGTTAGTTTCTCCTTCAACCAGGCAGATTTATTTATCAACTTGTCTGTCATGCTATTTTCTGTGCCTTGATTGTTCAAGTCCTTGAAAAAATCTCGAGATTCTGGTTCTTGGACAGAAGATGTTGGTGAATCAGGTAATGAATCCAAGTCCAAACTAGCATTTTCGTGATTTGTAGTGTTCGGAAAGTATGAGCTGCCTTCGCCAGCAAACTGCCACGGGGAATGATATGCTTCGGAATCTGAAACTGAAGAAGATGAAGATGCAGCATCGTCCCCGGCTTTGGCACAAAGATTATACTTTACTTCTCCTTTGAGATTTTCATACTTAGCATAGAGGGACTGGTATTGTTTGTGGAGATCATCAACAAGTTGGATAAGTTCTGCTCTTCTCCTTATGTTCCCATCTCTACTTCCTTTGTTCATACTCTTGCTCAGCTTCACAATCCTTTTTACCTTGTTTCCAATCTCTGCAATAAAGAACAAACTCTTTTGAGTTACGACTCTGAGAACAACAACAACATATCCAGTGAAATCTCACAAAGTAAGGTCTGGGGAGGTAGAGTGTACGCAGACCTTACCCCTTACCTAGTGGAAGTAGAGAGGTTATTTCCAAAAGACCCTCGGATCAAGTCAAACAAATCATAGTAGTAATGAAAAGAAAAGACGACAATGAAGAAAACATGTCAACTAATAGTTTGTTTCCAAAAGACCCTCGGATCATGTCAAACAAATAATAGGGAATAATCAAAACTATACTCAATTTGCCTCTAATAAGCTAAACCACAACCCCTCATAACATTGTAAGGACTGAGGCTGTTTTCAAGTGGAATAGTTACCTATTTTTATGCCTTTCAACTGTTCTTCTTTTTCAGGATCCATATGACTCTGAAAAGCCTTAATGGAACCCTTCAAACGTTGTTTCGCCATCTCTGCTTCCATTATTTCAAAGGGAAGTTCCACTTAAGATTGAACGATTGCTAGCGTCAAAATGGCTGATCCATCTGAGACAAAGGACATCCAGGATCTGCAACAGCCCATGAGCAAATGCATTTAGACATGTAAATTTAGTAACAGTAAACTGCCCTGATATTAATCCTTCAACATTCTTAGCATTAACTCTGTTCATCCAATGGCTTGATTTGTCTTAAAAAATAAACTTTGTTCTGAAAAACTATCAAAATATAACATCAACGACAGAGACAGATCCAAAATTTAAATTTGAAAAGAACGATTTGTATTCTTATCACTGAATCTCTTATAGTTCAAAACTTAGAATTGTTAAATTTTAGTATATTTTCACATATATTTGTTCTGCTTTGCTTGAAAAATATTGGATTCAATTGAACACGTATATCGTTGGCACTACGTTGTGTCCCCTCTGATCACTTTTCACCAGAATAAGCATATAAATACAAACTAAATTGAACAATTCCTAGAGGTTACCAAAATAATCTTGAACATGCTATTAGGAAGACCAAAACTCAATTCCAGCAGCTAATAACATAGAAAATTGTCCCTTCGAGATACTTTGTGCACCAGACTGCCCTTTAATAACATAAAAGGTAATTATAGAACAAGGATTTCATTTCAAGTGTATAAATGATTTGTTTGACATATTTGCATGGTCCAAACTAGTAACATATATACATGGAAGAAAATCCAAACACAATTTTTTTTTTTGAATGATTTTTTGATTAATCATCCATGCATATTCGAATTTAATGCAACAACGACAACAACATAGCTTGTAATCCCACAAGTGAGGTACATCTGAGGAGGGTGCATGGCGTGTATGCAACTTTACCCCTATGTAGAGAAACTGTTTCTGATACGTACATGAACGGATCTAATGTAATTAGCATTTGAATTCATAGATGTACAAACATAATCTCTTATTAATAATCATAAGGATTATCCAAAATTTATCTTTATTTGTCCATTACAACATAGAAAATGCAGAACAAAAAGATTAAAAAAAATATTTAAAAAACTGCAAATTCTTACCTGAAAAACTGTGAGGAAATAGATGAATAGCCATTTGCATTTGTTTTCTTAACATGTGTAGTATCTTGAAACTAAGGGGAAATTTCAGTTACTTTTTCTACCATGATATTCTATGGCTAATAGTCATCAATCATCATAAATATATTTCACAGTAACGTATTAGACATTATTTTATTTATAAGATTCAACGGGCAAAATTGACAACGGACATATTTAACGGACCATAAAATGTTAATAAACGTTTTATGAAATAATAGTTTATCTTTTTTTTTATATAAAATTTGGGAATTTATTTAATTTTTAATTAGTAAAATAAATATATTATTTAAAAAAATATTTCAGTAATTTAATTTTTAACTAAAGGGCATTCCATTTTTAATATAGTATGAATAAATGAATTATTATTTAATAAAGCACTGTTGAAAGTTATTAGGTATTGCAGTAACAAAAATACATAGGCTGCACGTTGGCTTAGAAGGATGAATAATTAATCATCTTTAAACAAAAGAGTCTTAATACATAATAATATAGTACATAAATTAGGAATCTAAGTTGTTTAGGATTTGTTATTTAGCATTTATATATAATTCATATCTAGTTAGAATTTGTTTGTATAGTGTTTATTATTATTTTATATAGGATTTTTTATACTGTAAAAAGCGGAGCTAGGTAGGGCAAAGGACTTTTCCTCTTTGACAGAAAATTATAGTGTTTATAAATACAGGTTGAATCTCTCACTGCATTTACTTTTTCATATTTCGAATAGCTTAGTAAAAATTCAGACATGATCACAAGGAAAGGAAAGGAAAGAATATAAGGAGTTGGGTGGAAATTGCATAAGTAGATGAAGAGCTGACAATTGACATATTGTCTGATTGCCTCATTAGACTTTTAAGCATGTGTTGGAATGTATATGCGTCCACTAGCTACGATAGGATCAAGTCCTTAACACAGTTGAGATGAGCAAAAGAAGGTACTGAAAGTAAAGATAGCACGCACAACTTTACGTGGAAATCTCCTTGTTCAAGGGAGTAAAATCACGACCTGTCTCACAGGATTTTCAAACTGTTTTTACTAATCTTCTCAAGCAAAAGTAAAACACAGTTTATAACACACACGAGTTTAACCTCCTAATCTCTATTATGAGTAATACAACTATTACTCAACGAGCCAAAGCAATGCATGCAATGCCTACTATACTAACCCACACTGATTAATATAGACTTTTAACGTAAGACACAAAGTTTCCCTCAACTAAGTTCTTACCGTGATTCACCCAAGTTTTGAAACGTTTCTAACACAGGTGAAACGAATCCTACAATATAAGCACAAATACAAGCAATCAAAATAACAACAGGTTCAGGAAGCAAATCGTCAGTCTATGAGGTCCCTTGTTGTTTTGTTCAAGCTTGAATATTCTCTCTTTGAATGAATAAGTGATTTGTTGTTTGTCTTGATGATTAAATCAATCCATAAAAAGTTATTGACCGTTGGACAAATAACCTCATCCATTCTGATTGGTGTGGTACACTGATGACCTCACCAACTTCTTATGCGACAACTTTTTAGCAGTATAGCACATGGACCTGTACGAACACACTCTGCAGAGGACCGAGTCCCTACATTTGTGATGAGATCATCAAAACATCTGAAAACAGTAAGACTTATCAGCATGTTTCAGACTTTACTTAATAGTTGTCCCTTGATTGATAGTTTCATCTTTGAGTATTATTTGGGGATAGAAAAGATTGAGTTGTTATATCTTCAAAAAATCAAGTCAGTTACCATTTCGACACAAAGAAACTATCCTATTAAAATTGGAGCACCAACTCTTGAACTGTTGATACAATTCTATAATATTAAACAAAACATCACAAGGAGCTTTCTCAACTTTTCAAGTTGACGTATTAATGTAATGACCCTTCTAGCCATTTCTGTGTTTTGCCTTCTGTGTGTCATTTAAAGCATTCTTGTAGCGACCCCAAGTCATTTATGACTTGCTGGGACTGACAGTTCCGTCACCTGGTCGTTCGTTTGGCTTTTGTGCGAGTTTTAGTGTTTTTAGAGCTTATGAACCTTGAACGATCATTTTCGATCAAAAGTTCAAGAAAATGACATCAGAATCTAATTCTGACGATTCCATCAGCTCCGAAAAGGTCATTTTAGGCTAGTAGCAAGGTCGGCATGACTCCCGAGGTTTTCAGTGAGATTAGGCGTTTTAACTTTAAGTTTAAGCCTAAGTTTGACTTTAGTCAACATTCTGAGTAAACGCGCTCGGATGAGAATTCCGTCAGTGCGCTTAGCTTCGAAATGTCGAGTTTGGTCTAGATTGACCCTTCTTTTGTGTCCCGAGGTTTTCGATATTTTTTCGAGTCCTTTTGTGGTTTTTGACTTAAAATGACATTTAGGTGTGGGACCCACTTTTTGTCAAGATGACCTTGTATGGAAATTTTGACTGCGCCATTGAGTCTGGAATATCCAATTTGGTATAGTTGCATATCTTGTTTGTGTGCACGGGGTTCTGAACAAGTTCGGAGTACCTCGTCGGAGTTTTTATGTTTTGGAAAAAAATTGTAGAAATATCTGCTATAAATGCAGATATACCAGCCAACTTTTCCAAACTTAAAACCCTCATCTCTCAACCGATTTAAGTGATTCGAAGTGCGGGAGCTTCGTATTCTCGGTGGCTTCGCTGTAGAGTGTTCAGAAGTTGTCGGGTGCGCATAGTTTGAGGTAATTTCGTGATTAACCTGACTGTTGTACCTTTTTTCGAGCCTTTGTTTTTGGCATTCTTGTTTTGGTCATATCTAACTCATTTTAGGTTGATTTTGGGTGATTTGAAGTCCCACATGCTGGGAATTATCCTGGCTACCTCGTAGAGTGTTCAAGGAGTGCTGGAAACTTTTCGATTCTCGTTAATTCTGAGTTTAGACTGCTGTTGTTTTCTTTTAAGTTGATTAAAGTGTGGTTTTCTTGCTTGTTGGTTTTTGTTGTGTTTTGAGCCTTGATTTGTGTTCCAAAATGGAACACAAGTTTGGGGTGTTGTTTAGGGTCTCTTGACGGAGTCAATTTCAGACAATTCGGTGCGGGTTCCATGATTTTCGTTGTGACTCCAAAATTGACCCGTCTCCGTTTGTTGTGATTTTGGTGTCTAAACGACCGTACTAACGTTGTGATCCTATATTTGATAGAGTGATAGCATTCAAGGGTCGTTCGGGAAGGAAAAGCCCCAGTAAAGTGATTTGGAGCGCTCGCGGTCAGCCTTAAGGTAGGTTATGGCTTCCTTTCTTTTAGATTGAGCTTAATTGTGTAAAAGCATATCGATTAGAGTGAATTGGGGGTGGGTACCAGTTTCCTACCTTACTTTGATTAGATACCTCATGTTAGGATCGATTGGCCATATTCAGGTGTAGTATCATGTTAACCGGTTTAGTAGAGTTGTATGTTTATGTGCTA